AAATTGATTATCTATGATCAAAATTGTACTACTGTGCATATAGTGTGCGAAATTTTTTAATACTGTGCATATATGTGTGACAGATTTTTTTATCGTGTAAATTTAGCAAAATTGCACAAATCGCACATAGATTTTACACACTGGTTGATTGTATTTTATTTATTTATATATTTTATTTTTGTATTATTTATATTTTATTCATATAACATATTAATAAATTGGATCAAATTTTTTATAAAAATTTCTTAATTTATTTATTTTGTTCCCCCCCAAATACAAAACCTTAAGATCAAAGAACCAAAAATTTGAATAAAATTGTAAGCGTTGTCTATATTAAAAAATTGGATTTAGATGATGTTTAATAATAAAATAATATTTTAGCGTGATGTTTAGAGTCAGTATCGACCGAAGGGAGAAACGTGAATACCAACCAAACCTGTTAATTCTCCTCAATCAGTATCGACCGAAGGGAGATACGTGATATGTAGTACTAAACATAATAAAGATGATATTTCTTTTTCTTTTGAAATACACTTTAAATAATAAATTTTAAAAAAAAGATTTGAACTTAAATGAAAAAATTGTTTTCGTTCTATTGAAGAAAATCTATATTAAATTTTATAAATATAAATTATACTTAACACGTATGCGTCTTGAAATTATTTGGTAATTTTATTTAAAAGGGTAAAAATGTAGCAGAATTTTATTAAAAATAGGAAAATAATTAATACATCAATATAGAAATATATTTACATCTCTCTCTGAAAAGATATTTAGTAGTAAATTAATCATTAAGAGACACGTGATAAGGAAAATTAAATTCTTCACTTCTCTGGCATGTTGAAAGTCAAAAGAAAAATGAACGGAAGAAATTTAAAATTTAGTAGGAAAATTTTGAACAAAGAAAGTGGCTGTGTAAAATTTTAAAATTTTCAGACCCGTGAGAATTTCTTGTTTGTAATTATCATGTGAAATCACGCAATTAATCAATAAAATTTGCAATTTTAAATTTGTTATATTTATGATAATGATTTTTTTTTATATAAATTATTTGTATTAGTCAAAATAAACTCCGAGTATCCTTATTTTTAAAAAATGAATAATAAGCTTTCAGCAAATGATAAACGTTTATTAACAATGTTATCGAATAATGATGAAATAACCATCGTTAGTAAAAATAATGCTTATTTTAAAGGTGACTTCTATAAAAAAAAGATAATGATTGGGAGGTTTCTGATGTAAATAATTTTAGTTCTGAAGTTGATTATGGTAAGTATTTTTTATAAATATAATATTTGTGTATTGTATATATAAATATTTAAATATTTATTTTATTTAGATGAAGTATTAAATCAAATTATACAAAAAATGAATAATAACTCTTTAAATGAAAAAAAAAAAATAAGCGGAAAAAAAGCAGATCAAGAAACAATATTTAACAAATTTAATACATTTTTAATTAATAATATAAAGAGAGAAAATGAAGAAGAAGAAACATTTGCCAGTTCCGGTTTTATTAGGTTTGAACAAGAATTAGAAGAAAGTGAATTTGAATATAAACTGAATATTATTATAAATAGTATTGATAATTTGAATGGAGATTCTTACTATAGAAATCTTATTAATTTTCATCTTTTAAATTTAAATAATAGTAAAGTTTTTAAAAAAAAATTAATCAATATTATTCAAAATAAGAGCAAAAGATCTAAAATAAAAAAAATTGCAAATCGTTTTTATATATTAGCTAAAAGTTGTTCAAAAGATAAATGGATGCAATGTGATATTGGTCCATCTTATTTTATTGATTTAAAATTAGAAAAATGGAATAGTCTTTTAAAAAAATATAATATAGAAAATCATGAAGAAGAAAGTGAATAATTTTTTTTATAAATTTATAGAAAATAAAATGATAATTTTTTTGTAATTTGCACGGTTATTGTGTATATATTTTAATTTTAATTTAATCATGTGATAAATAACACCTCAATAATAAATCAGGAAATTTTTAATATATTTTTAATAAATAAAATATCAAAAAAAAAATGAATCGTAAAAATATAAAAAATTTTGAATTTAAAAAAAAAATAAATTTAAACAACCTAAAATCGACAACCATCTTAAAAAAGCTTTATCTTATTTAAAAAATGAACAAATAAATGAAAGTGATGAATTGGATAGTTTTACAAATCAGCAACTTGGTAATGATTACGAATTAAAAATATGAACGTTATTATTAAATGCAGGATATATACCAATATCAACAAAGGCTTGTACCAAGGATTATTTTAATAATAGGTAATTTATTTTACTCAATATGCTCGTTTGAGAAGTTGTTAGAGAGGTTTTGTCCAAATGAAGCCTGGATAAATGGTATTAATATCATATTATAAGTTATTTAAATGATTCGAAAGTTTGGGACTGCACTAATTATTCATTGGTAATCATGAGTAATTGGGGGTAGATGGCAACTTCAATAGGTCCATAAATTTAATGGTCTGCTGTTGCGAGAATTAATTGCACGGTTCCTTTGAACTTGAAAAAATATTTGAACTTAAATGTGTCCTCGCGAGATTTCTTTGCACGGTTACTTTAAATGGTATCCTCGCAGGAATTAATCGCACGGTTACTTGAAAACAATTAAATGTGAACAGATATGAATTCTTTGATAGATTTATTATTTTATAAAGTAAAAAAACTGTTATCTAACTCCTTTTGTCGTAAATCACAATGTATTAAAATTATTTTCGTTCTATTGAAGAAAATCTATATCAAATTTTAATAAATATAAATTATTTAAAAGGGTAAAAATGCAATGATGAGCAGAATTTTATTGAAAATAGGAAAATAATTAATACATCAATATAAAAAAGAAAATACATTTATAAGAAACTATCTATGTTAACTATTACTAGCTATAAAAGATAAAGAGAGAGAGCGTAGTCTATAGAACGGCCAAAAAGGCAACGACAAAGCGTAGTTCTATGACAGGCAAAATGCAAACGACATCTCTCTCTGAAAAGATATTTAGTAGTAGTAAATTAATCATTAAGAGGCACGTGATAAGGAAAATTAAATTCTTCACTTCTCTGATGAAGTTGCTCCAATATTCTTCTAAAGTTTCTTTGGATTTGATCTAAATTATTCTGGAGATTTTGAACTGATTGGACATCTTCATAACTTTGGAGGCGATTAACATCAGCTCTTGCACAGTTATATTGGAAAAGAAGGCTTTCGTATTCTACTTCAAGGTCTCGATATCGACGTCTATTACGAGATAAATGAGAAGATAAATGATGAATTTCATTAGATAAGCTATCCACTTGAGACAAAGAGGAATTTAATAGTTGTCGAAGCCTGTGATTTTCAATATCAAGTTCATCTATTTTTTGTTGTCTTATTTCTTCTTCTTGATTTCGAAGGTTGTATTGACGGCGTGAGAAAAATTGCTTGCGAAAACTTTTGCCCATATTGAAAATATGTCAAAGAAAAATGAAAAGAAGAAATTTAAAATTTTGGTAATAACTTTGAGAAGAAAGTGGAAAATTTGGGGAAAATAGAAGATCGTGAGAATTATTTTTTTACAGAAAAATAAACAAAAATCCATTGGATCACATTGGATGATGATCATTGCATAGAAATCTATGGAATAAAAACCTGTTAAAATTGGCGTAGTTGATTAATATTACTAAAATTAGATGATCATACACAAAATAAGCTGCATAATTTTGAGTTTGATAAAATGCATGTAGGAATAGCTTTCACAATAGGAAAATTTTGAACAAAGAAAGTGGCTGTGTAAAATTTTAAAATTTTCAGACTGAGAGAATTTCTTTTTTGTAATTATTATGTATAATTTTTTTTTATAAATTGTAATTTCGAGTAAATTATTTGCACAGTTACTTTAAATGTGTCCTTTGTGAATTATTTGTACGGTACTTTATGGTAGTTTCCTCAAAATTAAATTTAATTTTAATCTAATCTTATTTCATTTTAAATGATTGTTTTTGTATGAATATGATTTATCTCAAAAAGATTGTTCATTATTTTTAATCAAATATATTTATGCCTAGATTATGCAGAATATCAATCGATTTGTAAGAATCTATTGTTCTATTCATTGTTTCATTTTTGATCATATGTTTAAAATTTAATTTAGATAATTTTTTTTGATTTTGTACTCTGTTTCTTTTAATTAAATTAGTTATAAATAAAAATAAATAAATACTTGTTCATTTTTTATTAATTAAAATGACTCGTAGAAATCAAGCTGTTATTGATCTTTTTACGTCTCCAAATACTACTTCGTCTGAAGGATATTGGCGTATTAAAAGAAGTACCAAGTAAATTATTATATTTATAATATATTTTATAATTTTATAATTATTTATACTGATATTATTAATTTTTAGTACTAGTTTAATTCCTGCTATTTCTTTACATTTAATTATGTTGGTTATTATGAAGCTGATCAAATTTTGGAGAAATTAATGAATTCTTTGAGTAAAATTTGTTTAAAAATGAATATTAGATTGGGTGATGAAATACCGAAAAACTTTAACGATCATGTATCTCGAATAAAGAACACAGAAAAATATATAATTCAAGCATTGAAAAATGATTCTAAAAGGGTTTTAAATATTAATATGTGAGTTATTTTGTAATTTTATTTTAATTAAAATTTACTAATTTATTATTTTTTTTTTTTTTTTTTTTTTTTTTTTTTTTTTAGTTTAATTCCTAATCATTATAAAAATATCAGAAAAACGGCAAAATATTCAAATTCATTATCAAACGTCTTGATAGTATCATTGCAAAATATTTGTTTAATTTTAAATATTAATTTAGGACAAAAAGTATATAATGATGAATTTCTTGATCAATTAGATCAAATTCAAAAAATTGTTAATGTAATTTTCGAAAATTTATTTACAAATCAAGTGTAGTTTGTAATTTCTTGAAATAAAAAATAATTATATAACTTATCAATAAATGGTATCCTCGCGAGAATCATTTGCACGGTTACTTTAAATGGTATCCTCGCGTGAATTATTTGCACGGTTACTTTAAGTGGTATCCTCGTGAGAAATATTTGCACGGTTACTTATGAAATGGTAACATAATATTGTTTATGTTTAAAAAATCATTTTTTTTTTTCTATATTGTGATCAATTTTTTTTATTTTTTATTATTTCAAAAATAAAATCATAATTTTTCAAAAATTACATTAACGGTTTTTTGAATTTGATCTAATTGATCAAGAAATTCATCATTATAAACTTTTTGTTCTAATTTAATATTTAAAATTAAACAAATATTTTGTAATGATATTATTAAGACGTTTGATAATGAATTTGAATATTTTGCTGTTTTTCCGATATTTTTATAATGATTAGGAATTAAACTAAATAAAAAATAAATTAATAAAATTTAATTAAAATAAATGATTACAAAAAATATAACTCACTTGATATTAAAAACCTTTATATAATCATTTTTTAATGTTTGAATTATATATTTTTCTGTATTTTTTATTTGAGATATATGATCGTTTAAGTTTTTTGGTATATTATCACTCAATCTAATATTCATTTTTAAACAAATTTTACTTAAAGAATTCATTAATTCTTCTAAAATTTTATCAGCTTCATAATAACCAACATAATTAAATGTAAAAGAAACGGCTGGAATTAAACTAGTACTAAAAAATTTAATTATTAATAAATAATTATAAAATTATAAATTGTAAAAAATATTTACTTGGTACTTTTTTTAGTATTCCAATTTCCTTTAGACGAAGTAGTATTTGGAGACGTAAAAAGATCAATAATAGCTTGATTTTTTCTACGAGACATTTTAATTAATAAAAAAATTGAATGTTTTTTTATTTATTTATAGTTGATTTAAAGATTAATAAAATGGAAACACAAGATAAAGATCACTTTTTTTTTCTGTGATTGAGGTATAAAAATAGAAATTTTAAATAATTTAATTAATTATCAAATTATTTAAGATGAAAAAAAAATCATTAAATCTAATCTTCATTGATAAGATATTTGAAAAAAAAAAAAAAAAAAAAGATGGTTTATACAGATTTTTTATAATTAGGTTCATTTTATGTACACATATACATGTGAAACTACTGAACAAAAAAAGCCTCATTCGTTTGAAAATCAGGAGTCATGATTCAAAGTTTACAAATTTTGATGATTAAAAATGAATCGAGAGCATCTAATTTAGTTTAGATGTCTTAATAAAAATTTTTATTTCATTTATGATAATGAATAATAAAATTAAAATATAATAAATATTTGTAATAAAATAAAATTATTCTCCCGTGTTATATCCATCTGTATCTATTCCAGATTGTTCTTCTTGCATTCTTTGTCTTTCTTGGTTTCTTCTTTGTTTTTGCATTCTTCGTCTTTCTTTTCTATTTTCGGATACTCTTTTTTTAATTTGTGAATCATTTTCTCCGTAATTTTGTAATGTTATAATCAGTTCTCCTTGTTTATTTTCAATTCTTTTTTTAAGCATACTTAATTCTTTATTGAGTACATCATTTGAACTTTTTTTAAAAAAATCATATCCAATTAATAATTGTGGATTTTCAGATTTTTGCTTCATTACGTCCCATTCCATTTTCTTTTTGTATTTTTCGTTTCCAAATTTTGGTTCGACTTTGATTTTACCCAATGTTTCGATAGTATTTCCTCCAGCGGTATTTGAAGACGATTTTTCACCATAGATATCTTTATTATTATATCCAATATCTTTAAGATGGTTACTACTAATACTTGTAATTGTACAACCTGTGTCAATTAATCCATAAATAATTTTTCCATTTACTTTTACCTTTACCCAAAATGAATCATCATATAATGATGATAATTTTTCTTTGACGTGAGCCATCTAAATAATAAATATTAATTAATTATTATTAAAAAGAATTATAGATTTTATAATAATTATACCTTTTTATTCTTTGAAAAGCGTAAAGAAAAATGATGAAATAAACAAATATTTATATATTTTTTTAGATTATTATGTTATTTAATATAACTTTTTGTAATAAAATTTTATTAGAATGATCAATCTAAAATAGAAAATTTAAATATTATTCTCCTGCATAAGACATATTTAACCATCGTTACGATTAAATAAATACAAATTTGGTAAATATATAAATTTAGAAATTTTGAATAAATATTATTGAATCAATTGTACATTTTTTTTTTTAATTGAATGAATAAATACAAATTTGGACATATTTAGCCATCGCTGTAATCGTACGATTTTTAATTTGAATAAATACAAATTTGGTAAATATACAAATTTAGAAATTTTGAATAAATATTATTCTCCTGATAAGACATTACTTGTAATCAATCTTACAATAGATCGAGATTTTATAATTTGATTTTTAATCGATCATTAATATCTCAATCAATCGTACGATTATTTTAAATTGAATAAATACAAATTTGGTAAATATACAAATTTAGAAATTTTGGATAAATATTATTCTCCTGTATAAGACATTACTGTAATCAATCTTACAATAGATTGATTTTATAAATTTGATTTTAATTGATCATTAAATTGGGAATTTGAACAATATCAAAAGAGAGGTGTTGTGGGAAATAATTTACTATATTTGTCCAATAGTATTGTTACATGTTTACATTTTTAATATTGTTCTTGAATAGATAATACTATTTACTATATTTGTATTGATTGATTTAATTATATACAATTTTATTATTTATAGGGTAGGGAAGTTTCATTGTTTAATTTTATTAATAATCATTATATTATTTATGCCTCCTAAACAAATTAATCATAGTGTATTGGCTAGGATAGCTGCCAAGAGATACGATCTAAAGGATTTTAAAGTGGTTTTAAAAGATCGAAAAACTGGCTGAACGACTACTTGTTCAGGAAATCATTATTGGTTACATGCTGAACCTTTAAAACGTCAAACATTTGAAGATTTTATTAATAATAATTATAATAATAAAGTTAAAGAATATAAAGTTGAATTTGATAATATTAAAGAACTAGGTAATCGATTAGAAGAATTTTTTAATAATGAAATAAAAAATTTAAATTTAAGAGTTGGTAATTTAGAAAAGGAAGTTAAAGTAATTAAAGATATTAGTTTTGAACATACAAAACAGATTTCCAATAATTCTGCTGCAATATTTCAAATAAATAAAGTAGTAGGACAAATTCAAAATCAAATTTCTCGTCCTTCCTCTCCTAAACTATTATCATCTAAACTACCTCCTCAAAAAATATCATCTCAAAAAACGCCTCAAAAAAATCAAGATAAAAAATTTAACTTAGAAAGATTAGATGAAGATTATATTTTTGATAATGAATGAATATGTGATTTTTTATTTAACAAATATGTATGCGTATGTATGTGAGCCTTTTTATTTTTATTCAAATGGATAGATTTGATTTAATTTTTTTGTATAAATAATGTTGAATAAAAATGTTTGATTTCAAAAAAATGGTTGTTAATAATCATAAGAAAAATTGTCCTTTTAAATATTACGCTATTATTGTTACCCCTCATAATTTAAAATTTAAATATTGTAAATGTTTTTATGAAAAAAAGCTTGGATTTTCCGATTTATTAACTTCTAATAATGGTAAACGTCAAGAAACTAAAACATTAGTAAATAAGTTTTTACCTACTTTTCGTATTGTTTCTTTAAATTCTGATAAATGGAATAAGAAGGATCGAATTAATTATATTTTACAATATTCTCAACGGTTAGCGGATAAGGGACATCGAGTTATTACTAATTGTAGTATTTCCAATGAAAATTTAAGAAAATTACGAGCCGAAGAATTAAATAAATCAACTTCTAATAAATCAACTTCCAATTCAATTAATTTAGTACTTCAAAAAGATAAATCTTGGTTTAGTATTATTGGAACTAAAGAAGAAAAAGACTTATTTTATTTTTTATCAAATTTATATTCTCTTGCAAAATCTGCTGGATACGAATTTGAGATTGACAACAATAATAAAAAAGTGTATTTTTTTCCAATAAAAAATAAAAAAGATCGTAAAGAAGTCACTTTAACAAATTTACAATTAACATTAAATATTAAGAATATTGAAGTTCTAAAGGCGATTCCGGATTTACAAAAAGATTTTAAGAAAATTCATAAAGCTGTTATTTCACAATGAGTGTAATTGACGATTTTTTAGAAGAACAACAACAATTTCATGCTGATGTTGATAAATTGTTAGCATTGGTAGATAAAATTAATCAAATTGGTATCAATGTTCTTGGTAGAGATACAACTAATGAATCTCCTGAAGATGTTCTTGATTCAATTCAAAATGAAGTAAATAATCAGAGAGTTAATGATAATAAAGATGATTTAATTGAAATTTATAAAAAGTTTGGAATACTTGGTGATCCAAAAACAAAAACATTAAAACAAATAGGACAAGATATAGATGATACTATTACAAACCTTATAGGAAAAGTTCGTGCAATGAGAATATCTCAACAACCTAAAATTAAAGATAGAATCAGAAATTGATTTTTTTTTATTTTTTTTTTATTTATATTTTATTTTATATTTTTATTTTTTATATTTATGTATAATGATACGGATATGATTTTTATTAAATAAAAGTTTAAATTATTAAATTAATTTTGTTTGTTAAATTTATTATTTATTATTTTTTAGTATGAAAAATGTAGAAATCATGGAAAAGTGTTACAAAATCAGTTAAACAAAATGATACAATAGGTAAAAGAAATGAATGAAGATAATGAACCATTTTTTACGAATTATGAGAATGAAATTTCTAAAGAATTAGTTATTAAGAAGTTAGAATTGAATGGAGAGTGATATGATTTAATCAATCAAAATATTAAAAATGAAGAAAATCGTCAATCTTTAATTTTTCTTGTAAAGAAAAGGTATAATAAGTTAAACAAAGATCGTGAAAATGAAGGTCAAGACCAATAATTTTATGAATTCCATTATAAATATTTTTTATTCAATTCCGTATAATATTGTTAAATTCCTATATATTTTGTTTGTTTTTTTATTAAATTATTTAATAAAAAAATTAAAATTGGGTTTTATTTTACTAAAAAATATCGATTCCGATCAAAATAAAAAGAAAAAGATGTGAACGGACAAAATATGGACATGCGTGTACAAATTGTCGTTTATTAAAAAAAATGTGATAATAATAATCCTTGTAATCGATGTAAGCGAAGTAAAGTAATTTGTAAAAAAATTATTAAACCTCCTGAATTGCGTTATAGTTAAAAATTATTATGGAATACCAATTATTAAAATATCTAAAATATTTGATTTTTTTTTTATATTTTTTTTAAAAAAATCTTATTTAATTAATATTCCGTTATCATTTTATTAAATCCGATATATATTTTATTTTTTTTTTTTTTAAAAAAAATTTGTTTTTTTTAATTTGTTTAAATAATTTGATTTTTTTTACTTTTAATAATTAAATGGATTATGATAAGATTGTTAAAATTATAAATTTAATATTTGGATTTTTAAAATTTATTATTTTGTTGTTGGTAATTTCACTTTTAATTATTTTAAACGTAACTTTATACCAACTCGGAGAAACTTATAATTTCGATTATTCATTTCTTAGTTTAGAAAAGATTTACACTTTGTTAGTTTCTTATTTTGGATACAAATTTGTTATAAGTATTTCAAAATTCATCAATAAAACATTCAATAATTTGAAAGATTTGATGATAAAATACATTGAAAACTATTCAGAATAAATGCCAAAAGCAAAATTTGTTAAGTGTAAAACTTGTAAAAAAATAGAAATAAGTTGTATTTGTATTGTTTATAAGTCTCCAAAGAAAGTTAAAAATTCCAAACAGTATAAACCAGTTGAGAAAGCAACAAAAAATTGTAAACCTTGTGGTGGTAAATCAAACAAATCTTCAAAATCTAAGAATTGTAACAAAACAAAAGGGAAATTTTGTTACGGATTTCAAAATTTAATGGGGAAATGTAGAACTTTAACTTGTAATAATTCAATAGATAATAAAAAAAATAATGAAGCTTTATGTGATAAATGTAATTATTTTTACACAAATTGTAAAATAGGTCAATGTTTAAATGAAAATATTAATATAAATAGTGATTCGTTAACTAATAGTTTAAATTTTGGAGATTGTTCTATAAAAATTGATGATGGTGATGAATGAATGTTTACAGAAAGTAAATATATGGTATATGAAAGATTAGATACAGTTTGGCATTTATATCAACCTAAATATTCTAATGATGAATATTTTATAAAGAGAAAAAATTGGTAATCGACTATAAAAGATCCGGATAAACTTAAAAAATTTCCATATTATTTTAAAAAAATGGCATATGCGAAAAAAATAACTGCTTATTTAGGAGATAAACCTTTAAGTCCAATGAATATAAATGATAAAAAAGTAACATTTTATCCAATGGATTATAAGATGTGTTTTAGATTTTTATTAATTGAAACATGTGATTCAAATTTATTACATGAAGGACTTAAAAGTCAAAACGTTCGATATAAAATATTAACAGATCCAACTAATATATATTCGAAAGTAAAAGAAGGATATAGAATAATTGAATCTGCTCCAAAAATTTGTGATAAATGTATAATTAATAGAGCAAATTTAAAATTATGTTCTAAATGTTCTAAAGAAAAACTTTGTTATGATTTTTGTAATTTAAAATGTGGAAGATGGTATTCACCTGATGAGTGGTTTATTTTTTGTGTAGATTTTGATCAAATGATAAATTGTGTTAGTAATTTTGAAGTTGAAAGAAATAATAATAATATAATTCATAATCATAGTAATTACACATTAGTTATATTAAGAGAACCTGATCCAAGTATTATTATGGATTTAAAAAGAATGCAAGAAGATGATAAGGATAAATATGTTGATATTCGTAGTAATCGTGAAAATGGTGAATTAGGGAAATCATGGCTTTTGGATAGAAAATTATTACAAACATTTGCAATTAAACCAC